TATCCAAGTTAAATAGTGCTAATATGTCATAGAGCTCAATACACTCCTGTTGGAAACGAAGGAAGCAACCTCCCATAGCTTGAGAGTAAGAAGTCGACATGATAAAGATATACAAAAAGATGCAAAATATGGGAACCCAATGATGCCCCAAGGAACACAAATACAACCTCTCTAAAAATGAGAGGGCACAAAAAATTACCCCATTAAAATCTTAAATGAGAGGGACACAAAAAATTACCCCATTAAAATCTTACTTTCACAACTTGGGAACATAAGTGTTGAATTGATACCTTAACGCTGTGTTTGGTTGGGAGATTTGGGAAGAGAAATGGAAAGGGAAATGGAAATGAAAGGAAAAGGAGAAAGAATTAATAGAATTCCAAATCCCAACTATGTTTGGTTGTGTTGGTTATAAAATAGAATTGATGTCCTAAAAGGTCTCCTATTTCTTTATTTATTTCTCACCCCCTTTCTTTTCCCATATATTTTTTATTATAACCAAACATAAATAGAATTACATTTCTCATTCCTTTTCCAAATCCCACCCCAAAAACCCCAACCAAACACAGCATAAGGGTATTTAAGGGTATGTAATAAACAATGAACTTTAATTTTTGCACAATTGATGATTTTTTAATATCCAAACAAAGAATCTGACCTGGAGTAACAAGAAACTTTCGCAACCTGAGAGCACAAGTCTTGAAATGACACCTTAAGGATACGGTATAAAAAATGAACTCAAATTTGTGTGCAGTTGATGATTTTTCAATATCCAAACAAACAATCTGATTTGGAGTAAATAGAACACCAAAGAAAGCCCTACCAACCAGCACAAATAATTACTTGAAGAATGTAATATCCCATCCCAATGTGTGTGATGTATGAAGCATTGCCTCTTGAGAATAAATAAAGGTTGAAGAAATGCCTGCGCTAGGGACATATGGAAGAACCACATCATGGGTTGTGCACATGCATAAACTTCTTGGGCTACACAATACATCATATATGAAGTGTGATACCGTCAAATTAGGACCTATGTCTCCCCTAAATTCTAGTGCATATGTCTCCTAGAAATATGCAAATTATAGCGGTAGAAAGATGTAGTTGTTCCCTAGTTGATGTAAGCTTGTTTAGCGCTATATTTTGTATATCCTTGAACATTATTAAATATTTATTTTGAATAACAAGGGGTCACTAGTCCTGTGATTAAAATTCGGCCTACTAACAGTTTGTGGGTTTAAACCTATGGGTTAGGTTTGTACCCATTCTACCTCTCCTAGAACCCCATCCAATGTAAACTATACCAGATGTACTTTTTTCATTAAAAATTTATTGTGAATAATCACTTCTTGAGTATGTTTCTACAAAAACTAAATAAGATTTCAATTTTGTTAAGGTACTTGAACTTAACCTATGAAAAATAACTATCGAACACAGAATAATGGATGGTTAGTAAGGCTTCTCTTCATTTTCAGCAATACTACACCCCTCCCCCCCCCCTCCCCCCACACACACACACAATACCTTGTTAATTTTAGAGGCAATGTGATATTGATGGCATGAACTTAATTGCAGTGGTGATGGTGCAAAATTAAAGACCATGATTCTGTAATGCATTTTCATGTGAAATCTACAAATCATCTATATTTCAACTCAACACATGCTCACTGTACTTTGTTTTCTGTTCTGTTTTCAATCTATAGGTTTGACTCACAGTTTAACCAGAAAATTGTTCAAAACATTGGGAATAAGTTGAATCAAACAAAAACAGAGTGTTGCCCCTATCCAGTTGGTATACATTATGAAGTGAAGAACATTAACTTATGGTTACAAGATGGCTCAACTGATGTTGGTGTATTTCTGATCTATGGGATGGGTCGAATAGGGAAGACAACCATTGCCAAACCTATTTACAACCTAAACTTTGACAAATTCATTTGATTCAACCCAACAGTTTGATTTGTTTACAAAATAAAAATTGTTTCAGATATATTGAAAGCCTCTGCATCCAAAAAAAAAAAAAACGCTAAATATAGAACAAAAATCATAACCCATTTACTCGTTTCCTGTAAATGAAACTCATAAATCAAACTCAAACAGGGAAATAGAAGAAGGAAGAGAGACGAAGAGAGATAGATAGAGAAACCTGAATCAAGTTGAATGGGTGTCAGACAGTGTACCTGTGGTGGTTAGGGGGCTCTCAGCAACAATGGCCGATAGTTAGTCGATGAGAGGAGATGATCGATGGGCTGTCGACGAGAGTGAGAGCAAGAGACTGGAGTGTTTCCTTTGGTGTATTCAACACATACAGAGAAATAAAAAAATAAATAAACAAAATGAAACATAGCCTGAAAATACGTGGTACTATTTAATATTCCCACCAAAATTTTTTGGTTTTATTGGCAACAAAATCAATTTAGTCACTAAAAGCAACCTTTGCCTACCAAAATTTTTGTAGCCAAAGATAAAAGTAAAATAATGCTTAATTATTTGGCGACTAAACTATTTTAGTAGCCACATTTTTATACGACGATTAAAAACTTTTTTTCGTCGTTGAAAATAAATATTTACCGACAAACGATTGGTCACCAAACATAAATACCAAACATTTTGCAAGATTTTTACCGACTACATATTTTTAGTAGGCAAAAATGAGTTTACGGCGACTACAAAAAATTTAGTAGCCAAAAAACAAAACTGACACAGACTAAAATGTTCATTAGTCGCCTATTATGGCAGTTTTTAGCGACTAATTTGTTTTTTAGTCGCCAATAAGTAATATACAGTGACTAAAAAAATTTAGTAGCTAATTTTTGAACCAATCGCGACCAATACCAATTTTTCGTCGCCAAAGGTATGAGTTTTGGTCACTAAATTAATTTTAGTCGCTAAAATTAGTCACCAAAAGTACAAATTCTTGTAGTGAAACTTGAAAATTATTGATATGGTCAAATATAGAAATATGTAAGTCAAAATTATCAAGATTAGAATAAAGTATAAAATTATATCATTAAATTAGTTAAATTTAAAAATTTCAAATACAAAATCTCAAAAAATCAAATTCGTTACATCTCTCTTTGCCTGACCATACTAATAGACTAATAGGTAAATTATTAATAGATCTTAATAGTTAAACTTAATTCTCATCAAATCCTATTAAAAATAAGTCCTATTAAAATCGTCGCTAAAAATAATTTTTTATGACTATTTTTTTACATGTCATTAAAAATTAACAATTAGTGACTTTTTTTGTCATGAATTTTATAAATTATCGTCAAAACTTATAATTAGTGATGTTTTTCTGTGACAAAATTTTCAAATTATAGTTGAAAATTAAAAATTAATGACATTTTTTTGTGACGAAATGCATTTTTCTTGACCTTGTTTAAAAAAAAATTTAAAATTTTTTTTTAAAAAGCTCTTTTTAGGATAAATGTTGTGATAACTGATCATAATGCAAGGTAAAAATGTAGTTTTGGTTGTAGGAAAAATATGTCACTTTTATAATGATAATATAGATTCAACTCAGGTATTTCTATTTTTTGATTGATTTTTGTTCAAGTTTTTAGTTTATTCAGCTTTATATATTGTGGATGTTGTGCGAAATATTGATGTTCAATTGTGAAAGATGATTATTGAAAAGCATCAGAAAATTGATTGTCAAATATTTTTTAATTTTAATTTTAATTTTTTTAAAATAAAAGTTGAGGATCAATCACGATTTTATGGACAAACTGAGATCTTTGATATAGGAATGATCACAGTTTTCTTGTAAAATAATCACGGTTAAAAACTGTGTTAGAAACTAAATTAATCACGGTAAAAAATTGAAATTAAAAAGACCACACTTATGAAACCAAGATTAGTGAAATGAAAGAAATGTGAATAAATAATACACTATTTATTCACAGGAACTATATATCACTTGTTTTTTGTTTTTTGTTTTGTAATTTTGAATCACTTAATTAAATGGTAATATATTATTAGTTGTCATTAATTATGTAATAATTGTTTATAAATAAATGAATCAATTATAAATATTCTTATAAGATGTGATATAAAATGGTGACAAAAAATTAATGACATATAACCTTTCTCTCTTATACACAATTTATAAGAATTTTTTTTAGAATGATTAAATATTTAAAGTGACAAATTAAACAGATTATTTTTTTATTTAGAACAAACGGTAATTAAAATAGTGATATAAAATTTCAAGTCATTACTTAAAAGAATTCAATTGAAATATATATATTTTTTTATTAGAGGCATAAGGATAATTTTTCAAAAATTGTGGGGAGCACGTGACTTCGCCTGTAGGATCTTCTCAATTAGGTCAAGTTTGGGTAGTATGAAAAAATTCAAAAAGTCAAAAAGTTATTCAAAAAATTAAAAAGTTAACATTATTCATCAAAAGTCAACAATTACGGTTGCACAACTCTCAATCTTAATTTTTCCCTACAAATCAATTTTTACAATTTTTTATTACACATTTTTCCATAAAAAGTCAAAAATTTTCATAAAAAGTCAAAAAGTTAACCCAAACATCCATATTTTTTCCCTCAATTTTTTAGTCCAAAAAGATAAAAAGTGCACTTATTTAGGACACTCCAAACAACTCCTAAAAAAATAAAAAATAAAAAATAAAAAAGTTCATTATAAAAAAGAGAGAATTATTGGAAAAAAATTATAACATATAGGAGTACAAATAATTTTATGGTGGAAAGTGAAAATTTGCACCCCTTCATATTTTTATAATTCTTTTTCTTCTGCCCCACTGGGCAGTAATTCTTCTTAAGAAAATAAAAATTATATGATTTTTTTTGTTTTTTAATTATTATTTTTAGTAAATTTTTATTTTTATTTTTATTTTTATTTTTAGAAAAAGTGAAAATTTCAACATAAATTTATAATAAAAAAAATCACAAAAAAAAAATATGATATGTTTTTTTATATATTTTTTATAGCTGAATGACGAAAGCATGCATGCGTAGCGAACAAGATTCAAAACAGAGCACAGCAGCCGTAAATTAGCCATGAAACAAATGATGTTCTTTCAGTTGGCATCACATTACTCGCACTAAAAATAGCTTCGATTTCTATAAATAAACCCCCATCCCTAAATCCCATCCCACTCCCTGCGTGAAAAAATAGCTAATTCGTGGTCTACCAATTGATGGCCAACCGCCTCATTGTCTTCTCTCCAAAATTCCTCCTCCTCTGCCGCCGCTTTTTCCTCCGACCACTCCACTCCGCCGTTCCCTCCGACCTCTCCGCCATCATCACCACCACCACCACCTCCACCTCCTCCTCCTCCTCCTCCTCCGCCGCCGCCGATTCTTCAATTCTTGATCTCGATGACGTGAAGGGGCTTTTCTCGTCGGTGTCGACATCGAAGCTAGTGCGTTCGGCGGTGAATCTTCACGCGGCGGGGATCGAGCCCATGGTGGATGTGGGGCTGTGGGTGATGAATTCGAGGCTCATGAATACGGGGATGTTGCGAGGGTTGATGTTGGGGGCTACCAAGCATACTTTTTATGAGCAGTTTTGTGCGGGTCATGATCCCGAAGGGGCGGGTCGGACTGCTGTCAAGCTTTGGGAATCGGGGCTCCGTGGAATGCTGGTTTACGCCTTGGAGCATGCTACGGATAACGGCTCGTGCGATCGAAATTTGGATGGGTTTCTTCGGACTGTTGAATCCGCCAAGTCACTTCCCACCTCCTCTGTAAGCAACAACAAAAAAATAATAAAAATTTCTATTTTGGTTTTTTATTTTATTTTATTAATTATATATAGATCTAGGCAGCTCATTTCCAATTCAACAATCTTTTTATTTAATATTTCAATGAGCACATATTTGTATATGTCATATATCACAATTGTATTGAAAAGCGACATGGTTTAAATTTTTTTAAATTAACATATAAAATAATAAATAAATTATGATACTAGTACATAGTCGTCATAATATTATTATTTTTAAATTTGAGTAAAGAAGCATTTGCACATTTGCATGATCTATGACTTGTTCTGTGTCCTTAATTTTAATTCAACAAATTTTACTTTTTAAGATTATTCTGACCAACTTCTGTATGCTTTCTTTTGTCAAATAAAACACATCTTTGCATCTTTTACTTGATCTATGATTGTTCTTTCAATAATGCTATATACTCTGAATTTTACTTATAAATATTAATGTAAATTAGATTTATTTTAAATATGAACTACACAATACATCAATTAAATCTCAACTACACATCTCCTTTCCTGGTAATTTTCTTGGCAAAATTTCTGGTTTATTAGACTTTTGCTTGCTGTTTTCATGTGGGTTGGCATTGAGAAACATGTAAAACCACTCATTTTCGAGGGGTAGGTTGCTGGACCTATAAAATGATGTGCACTTAATTTTAGTTTTAGATATGAAAATGCTACATAATCTTATTTTTTATTTCATCTTTTCACTTCTAGGACAAGTAAATGGGTTTTGTATACATTTATTAATGTAGATCCCATTACTTTGCCTCTAGGAGTAAAAAAAAAAAAAAAGGGGTAAGAAATAGGATCATGTATAGCATTAATCTTTAGACTAATCAAAACAAATTTCATGATAAATGTCTGCTTTCAGATTTGTGACCAAGGAAAAGAAAATGGAATGTGTATGAACAGGTTAGCTTTGTTATAGTGAAGATCACTGCAATTTGCCCCCTCGGATTGCTACAGCGAGTAAGCGATCTGCTGAGATGGGAATACAACAATCAATCTTTCCGACTTCCATGGAAGCTCAACACTCTCCCAATCTTCTCCAATTCCAGCCCTTTCTATCACACACCGAGAAAACCAGACCCTCTAACCCCGGAAGAAGAGAGTGACCTCTACTTAGGCCATCAAAGGCTGCTAGAACTTTGTCAAAAATGCTTAGAAGCCAATGTCCCTCTTGCAATCGACGCTGAGGACACATCAATTCAACCTGCCATTGATTACTTCACATACTCTGCAGCACTCATGCACAACAAAGATGACAACCCAATCATTTTTGGGACAATTCAAGCTTATCTGAAAGATGCAAAAGAGAGATTGCTCCTGGCAACAAAGGCAGCGGAGAGATTGGGAGTGCCAGTGGGGTTTAAATTGGTGAGAGGCGCATATTTGTCAAGTGAAAGACAGCTAGCTTCCTCTCTAGGAGTTGAGTCCCCAATTCACAACACTGTTGACCAAACACATGCTTGCTTCAATGATTGTGCCTCTTTCATGCTTGACAAGGTTGCTAATGGCTCAGGGGCAGTTGTCCTTGCAACACATAACATCGAATCAGGTAAATTCTGAATACAGTAGTTCTACATGCACAGAAACAATGCTGAAATTATCTCTTTCCTTCTGAATATTCATTTTTAGAGCTATGGCGAGGCATTTTGTAGTTATTGGTTTAATATGCAAATTGTGATGGGTTATAGGAAAAAAGGCGGCGGTGAAAGCGCGAGATTTAGGGATTGGGAATGGAAACCAAAGGCTTCAATTTGCTCAGCTGTATGGAATGGCAGATGCACTTTCTTTTGGTCTGAGAAATGCAGGGTTTCAAGTGAGTAAGTACATGCCTTTTGGACCTGTGGAGCTGGTTATGCCTTACCTTCTGAGGAGAGCTGAAGAGAATAGAGGTCTCTTATCTACAACAACCCTTGACAGACAACTGTTAAGGTAAACTAATTCATCAAGAAATTTGTGCAAATCTGAATTTTTTCAAGTGGTATTTTGATTTTTGATCCGTTATATGTTTGTTCTTGGCACAGGAAGGAGTTGAAGAGGAGACTAAAAGCTGCAGTTCTGTAGAGTGAACTTGAGAAGGCAATCAACTTCAAGCAACCACACCAAGCTTATAATTTCTCAAACCTAATACAGTGCTGCTATGCATCGCCGGTTGAATTCTTTATCAGTTTTTTTTTTCATTTTTTTTTGTGGGTTGGCACAATAAATGACATGTGTACAAGTTCTACATGTACATGTGTGTGTTAGTTGTGTGAATTCACATAAAAAGTAAAGAAAACTGGTGAAATTCATCAAGATGAAGTATATATTATTTTCTTAATCAGAATTGTGTGTACATAAATAAGAACAAGCTTTTAGTCTTTGTGAGTCCGTCTCATTTTGTGTTTCAAGAGATTCTTGAAGCCTTGTTATTCTAGTCGTATTAGGATGTCAATCTAGTCTTATTTCATTCTTTGGAATCTCTTGGAACCTTGTTTCTAGTTTTTTCAGAGTTCCACAATCCTGGTGTAAATGATGTATTTAGTTCTCTTTATTCAATGTTAAAAGGCTTTTGAATGTCTCTACTTATGTTGACACCCAAAGATCAGTAGTGTTACATCTACCAATTGTATATTAATTAGTATATCAATATATACTATGATATTACCATTTTAAAATTATGACCACACCCATTATACAAATTACAAAGACTCAAAATTTTTAAAATTATATCACAACATCCATTAGTACATTAATTTATATATCAATTGATACATATAATATCATTCTTCAAAGATATGCTTGCTAATGACATCGGATTATACCTCACACACAAACAATGTTTACACAAACTAAATCCAACTCAATATATCAAGGCCATGACAATTGGTTGGCTCGACCCTAAAATTTAGGGCAAATTACATATACACCCCTCGAGGTTTGGCTAAATTACAGATACCTCCCTGAGGTTTCGAAAATTACATCCCGCCCCCTGAGGTTTGTATTTTTATAACAATTTGCCCCCTGAGGTTTATATTTCATAACAAATTACCCCCTAATTTCTTATGCAAATATAGCATTCAGGGGGGAATTCGTAATTTCTCAAACCTCAGGGGGACATCTGTAATTTAGCCAAACCTCGAAGGGTGTATATGTAATTTGCCCTAAAATTTAAGGCTTAGGAATCATGAAATTTATTTAATCAGCAAGTTGGTTTGGGTTACATATTCTAAATTCCTATACTTTATGAGTTGGGGTTGGGTTGGCCCATCTGGCCTTAATTTAGGCCTTATATTTTGATTTTTTTTATATTAAATTTAAAATTCATTAGCAAAAGAATAAGAAACTATAATTAAAATTTTAAAGTGCATCGCAATAGTCTGGATTATATATTGAATAATTTTTATAAATTATTAAATGGAAAGTGATGGAGAGGGGCTACACCACTATTACAAGATTAATATATCCAAATTAAATTGGCAGATATTAATTTGTCAATTATCTACATTAAAATAAATACATAAAATAAAAAATCTCTCAAACCTAATACGTTAATTAAAATGGTATGGAAAAAAATCAGGCACATTACCAATTAAGATTGGGTACGATACTGGCTCTGATTTTTTTTTTACTGTAGTAGTAGGTAAGATCCCCCTGTAGTAGTAGTCCGGATCCTCTCCAGCCAAAGACTCCCACCGGTCCTCCTGTCAACGGCCACGATTTGGCCACGTGGCCAAATGAAGATCTACGGCTCAGATAAAAAAAAAATTGAATTTCTTTCCTTCTTCAACACAGCAGCCTAGATGGATGTGAAATCAAAACGACAATGACAAAAATGGGGTTGTTAGAGATTGGGAAAAAGGCGATGAGGGTTGCTAGCGTGGGTCTGGATCCTCTTCAGCCAAAGACTCCCACCGGTCCTCCTGTCAACGGCCACGATTTGGCCACGTGGCCAAATGAAGATCTACGCTCAAATAAAAAAAAAAATTGAATTTCTTTCCTTCTTCAACACAGCAGCAGCAGCTTCCAAAGCTTCATTCCGCTTCACTTTTTTCCCTCCCTCTTCAGCTTTGTGAACGGCGACGGCATCTCGTGACACCAACGACGGAAAATCCAAGTCGGCGACGAACATCGGTGGGCTCTCCCTCTGTTTTACTCCGAAGATTTAGACTACGATTTGAGCCGCGATTGGAGCCGGAGAGACCACCAAATAATCTGTCTTAAAAAAAAAAAAATTGTTGTTCCCCCCAAATAATTTCTTGCCCTTTCCCGTCCTTCACCAGAGATGAAGGAAATCTGAGATGGAGAGACCACCATTTTAGGATACATACATGGATTGCTCTGTTTTTTTATCCAACTTGGAATGTGATAAAGATGAAGGTCTGGTTTTGGAGGTAGAGCAACAAAGTAATTTGCCATTGATGGTTTTGGGTTGATTTCAGTTGAAAAAAATCAAAGTAATTTTTGAAATGTTGAAAGCAAATTGTGAGAAGTTCTGGTTATAGAAATCTCTACCACCAAAATCTTTGCTTTTGCCCAAAACGATGACCAATCTCTACCACCAAATGTTTAGTGAAATGGAAAAAAACTGATTGGAAGCTGCTTTTGTGTTGAACGAAAGAATGACAGAAATTCAATTTTTTTTTTTAATCTGAGCCGTAGATCTTCATTTGAGCGACGTGGCCAAATCGTGGCCGTTGACAGGAGGACCGGTGGGAGTCTTTGGCTGGAGAGGATCCGGACTCGTAGTAGTAGGCACATTACCAATAAAAAATCTCTCAAACCTAATACGTTAATTTTTTTTAACCAATCAGGCACATTACCAGAGTATTTCAAATATTTAATTTTTTTAATTTATTAAGATCCCATTTGGGAACATATTATTTTAGTAAATTTTTGATTTTTTATGAAAAAATATACAAAAAATTAGAAAAAGTAATATCACAACTTATAATGATTTTTTTGATTAAAATACATAGTTGACAAGCAATATCTAAATTTAAGTGAAATTTTAATTTAAAACTTGATTTGACGTGAAACACTCAAATCCTTAGTCTCTTTTTCTATCAAATATTTTTTAAAATTTATAAACTTATCTTATAAATGTATTTTAATCATTTTGCTTTTAGAGCAATACTGGGTGGATCGAAAATGAGGTTGGCTCAAATGGCCCGAATTTCATCTTGTCCGTCATCTGGGTGGCTGTCCGGCCAGTCATCTGGCGAGGAGGCTGATAGCCACGGTCGACAAAGGTGAGAACCGCGGTAAACAAGCTTTCATCCGGTCATCCGAGTGGACGTCTGGCCGGTCAATCGGACGAATGACTGGCCAACACCCATTTGGGCCATTTGAGCCGCTCCTTTTTGGGCCACCAAGCATTTTTGCTTTTAAAATACATTAGATTTGAGTAAGATATAACTATTGAAATTTGGGCAAATTTCACTTTACCTCCCTATGGTTTAGGCCATATGCGGATTACCCCCTGACGTTCGAATATCACCACAAAATCCCCCTGTGATTGATGGAGTAAAGTACACAGTTAATACCGTTAATGACAGACGTAACTATCATTTTCACTCCCAACAGTCATGCATTTAAGAAGAGAAAAGGGGAAAGAACTAGGCTGTATGATTGAACACTTGTGACCCAATTTAAAAATGAGCTCAAGAAAGAAAAAAAAAATTACAGATCTAAGTTTTTTTTTTCATACTCTCTCTCTCTCTAGTCTACCTTACCTGCTAATTTGAATTCGGTTGGCGAAAAATTTATTTTCTAATTTGTGGTTTTTAATGATGTTCATTCAAATAATGGAGTTTGGGATTTTGTTAAAAAAAATTTGTTATGTTAAAGCCCTATTTGAGATCCGTACTTGTATATATATGAAGTTTATATATATGTATATATACACTTGCAAGTATATATACACTAGACAGGGAAGATGAAGTCCGAAGAGAGAGAGAGAGGTTGGGTTGGGTTGTACATCATTGTAGTTAGCTGAGTGAGAGAGAGAGAGAGAGGGAGAGAGAGCTGTTAAAAGAAGAAGAAAAAATTAAATATATTTTAGGAATATATATACATATATATGCACTTCATTTTTACTTTTTAACAGTGAATATATATGTATATGGTCCCGTTTGGTAGAACTGTGGGAAAGTGATTATAAATTATAACTTAACAGATTATAACTTACAGCTGTGAGTATAAGCTGGTAACCTGTTTGGTGTAGCTGTGGGATTATAGATTTAAGTTACAGAATAGTGTTTGGTAAATAAGCTGTAAAATAGCTTTTTCTGTATAATTGACTTTTTTGCCCTTATATGATATAAAAATGATAATTTTGTCATTTTTTTTTTCAATTTTAATTTAAAAAAATTATTTCATTAATAAAAGTTAATATAATTAGTATTAATTAATATCAACTAATATAAAAAAATTGATACACTTGATAAAAATGTAATAGTAGTAATATTGTGATAATTTTTTTCCATTATAAATTAATTAGTATCAATTAATTGCTTAATCAGTATCAATTAATACTAAAATTATTAATTAGTATAAATTAATGTCTTAATTAGTCTGAATTAATACTAAAATTATTAATTAGTATCAATTAATAGTAATAATTAATTTTTATTAGTATCAAATAATATTAATAATCAACAATTGTTATTAATTAGTATCAATTAATAATTAATTCATTACAAAAATACAATATTAAATTTTTTTGACATTTCTGATTCTGTTTTTATTAAATTTTTTTATTACAATTAATAATATAACAATTGTTATTTTTCATCAATTTATCAATTTATATTAATGTATCAATTTTGTCCAATTTATTATTATTATTATTATTATTATTATTATTCATTTTAATTACACTGAAGATCAAACTTCATATATATACTTGCAAGAAAAAATAAGATCAAACCTCATAAATATATACATATATATACACTTCATAAAAATTATATATATATTTTTTAATATAGTTTGATCTTAAGCATCTGAACAGATTTTAGGAATATATACATATATATATATATATGCAATTTGCAGGTTTGTATATATATTTCGATTCGATTGCTCAACAAGGTAAAGGTTGACGGGTAGTCATGGAAGAACTTTTGCTACAAGTTTGGGTAAAGAAACTGAAATGAATCATCCAATTGGGACAAACAATAGTAACCAAAATGGGTTTGGATTTGATCAGAAAAATGGATTTGGATTTGTATATGTGAACTGGGTTTGGATTTGTCTACAACAAAAATGATCTCTCTTAAGAGATGTCGAATCAAGAAAAATGGAGGGTTGGAGAAACAACCTTCCCTATTTTGGGTTGTTCTTAATTTTATATATATATATATATATATTCTATGTATTGATGATTTCCTTGTTGTAATGGTTTTGCAAACAAGAAAAGTTGTTGGATGATTAGAGTTTACACACTTCTATCAGTTGTCCGTTATCATCTGGATATTGATGATAAAGATGAGGGTAGGTTTTCGAAATTGATGATGAAGATGAGGGCATTTTCGTCATTTAATTCGGAGAAAAAAATTATATTTTCATGCCTATTTGCATACTAGGCGCGTGTCATGCACAATCTATTAAAATAGATGGAAAAGTTAACTGTGTACATTAATCCATCAACCACAAGAGATTATGTGGTGATATTCGAACATCAGGAGGTAATCCGCACATGGTCCAAACCATAATACGGTAAAGTAAAGTTTGCCCTTGAAATTTTGATGAAGAATTTGATCCATTATAGATTTGGTAAACAATTCATTTCTTCATTAATTTGATATAGATTTGATAAAATAGTTGAAACATATGCATTTAATCACAAAAAAAAAAATTATTAAATTTAAATTTGATAAAATAAGTAATGAAAGATTAAAATTTATCTAATAGGCTTATAAATGGGAATCTCGCAAATTGAAAAGTCACACATGTGGGGGCATATTGTACTAATTTTTCTATTTTTTCATCCGTTCTTTTTATTGTTTTACAAATTTTTAGTTGTAGTTTTGCTAAAGGGACTGGGTTGTCTCTGAATTGGACAATCTAGTTTGGTTTTTTTTTGGTCCATTTTGATAATTTAAACTATTTAATATGTAGAATTTGTCTACTATTTCATTTTTATAAAAAATATCAGATATTAATAGTCACTTGAGCAGATAATATTTGTGTCAACAATTTATTTTTAAAATTATATTTACCGTTGACACAAATGTTATCTGCTTAAATAGTTATTGATATTTGATCAACGTAAATTTTTGCAGTGATGAAATACTTGACGAGTTTTATATATTAAACAATTTGAATTATCGATGCGGGCTTTGTAACGAGCCCACGAAAGTCCAACAACACAATCTAATACAACATCAAATTGGAGAGAAGTCATCTCTTTTTGCTTAAAACATAAAAATCCACCCTCAAACTTGATAATTATTTGTTTATATGGAACAAGACTATATGTACTAAAAAAAAAATTAGGGCAAAGTTTGCTCCATGAGCCAAAAAACATTAAGGCCAAGTTTGGGAAGACTAAATAAGTGCACTTTTTGTCTTTTTGGACTAAAAAATTGAGATTGAAAATATGGATGCTTGGGTTAACTTTTTGACTTTTTATGGAAAAATGTGTAATAAAAAATTGTAAAAATTGGTTTGTAGAGGAAAATTTGAATTGGGAGTTGTGCAGCCGTAATTGTTGACTTTTGGTGAATAGTGTTAACTTTTTAACTTTTTGAGTAACTTTTTGACTTTTTGACTTATTTGGGACTTCCCAAACTTAGCCTTGATAATCTTTTGCAGACTAAAGTATTTTTATTGTTGAATATCATGCATTCATGACAAAACATTTTCAATGATTAATTAATATAGTCACTGAAGTAAAAATGAATTAATTTTCTTAAATTTGATATACATTTGGCGACTAAATTTTTAATTGTCCATCTTTGGCTACTAATGATATTTTTTGCCGTCAAAACCTTTTCTTGACAAACCTTTTCGCTACAAAACTAGCAACTAAGTATTTTAGTTACCGATTACCATCAGGGACCAAAATAATGCCTTTGGCGACCAAAATTTTAGTCGCAATATATATTTTGTTGTAGTTACAATCCTTCCAATGGATGTGTTTGAAGGATATTGGCATTTTTTTATATTTATATTTCAACTTTTCTAATGTATTGTGTTTGAAGGCAATTGTGTTTTCTTGATGTTGATGATATAATAACCCCCCCCCCCCCTCTTTTTTTTTAATAAATTGAATTGAATTGAATTGGTATTTGGATTGTAGCGAATTGGTTGATGGTGACCTTCTCCTCGTAATCTCCTGATTGAGTTTTGAAAATAACAGTGTTTGGTGAATTGGGCTTTTTGTTTTGTCTTTTACTAGCATATGCTGAAGATATATTTCTCCAAGGATACCTTAGTTTTCTCCCTGTTTTGTTCTATTATCTTGGATTGTTCTTGCATTGATGTACATGAAAAATTCATGGGTTTATTTGTATCTCCTCCTTGTCAATACAGCTTTCCCAATGTGTTTGTCACCGTTGTGCTAATATACATTGTGTCAATTCGATAACTTTATCAAGTGGTTGGACTTCTTTCAGCATTGCGTCGGATTATGTTCGATTGCCTGTTATTATGATGAACAAACGCTATTACTTATTTTCATTTTCCCCTTGCAGATTTGTGTGCTATGTAATTTAGAATTTGGCCAAGGGATGGATATTATACGGAGAACCGTATTGGTGTGTTTGGCCTTTTGGGGTGCAGTATCTTGTCTGAGGTAGTGGAATGGAAAAGAAGAAAATAGATGACTATGAACCAATACCAATTCCACATGTGAGAGTTGACAGATTTGGATTTGTAATTCAAGAACTTAATGATTCTCCTGATGGTTTAACCAAGAACAGGTCAGCCTGTCAGTATGCGAGGTATGAAATTTCTCTGTGGAATCTTATGTATGCTGTCAAACAAAATCCTCTGCACTTGGTTCCATATTTGATACTTTTTTGTTTTTATTTTTGGTGATTGTTTGCATAGATGCTAAATCTGTGAATTTAAGCATTTGACTGGAACAATGGCCGCATTGTTATGATTTTTCCTAGTGACAAGTCTTATTTTTACCATATTTTGAGTATTATTTTCTTTTAGCTGCCACAGCTTTATTTCTATGTCCCTTGCCCACTGACTTCTTGTTTTTCTGGCCTGGAAAATATTTTAACTGTATTATTGTTAGCAATGAATTAGGTGACTGAGCTTCTAGATGTCTTTGTTCTTGCAAAAATATATTGTTTTGACTTTGAGCATTTTGTTTGGGTGGATTAATTATCATATAAATTTTCTATATATGCTTTATGTGTTTTTCTGTTTATCTGAATGAGGCACTTTTTAGGGAGGAAAGAAGGATTAGAAAATGGAGGAAAATGATTGGCATTGGAGGGAGTGATTGGAAGCATTATGTTAGAAGGAAACCTCATGTTGTAAAAAGACGCATAAGAAAAGGAATTCCTGATTGTCTGAGGGGTCTTGTTTGGCAGCTAATTTCAGGAAGCCGCGACCTCTTGCTGATGAACCCTGGGGTTTATGAGGTAATCATATATTTTTCTCTCATCTAAAATATTACTTTACTTATATGCCATGGTATTGCTTAATTATCGTGACACCTCATGTTTAAGGAGATGAAACAAAGAGAGTTGTGTGCTTGGTCAATTATGGAAGTAAATGTACTCAAGTCATTTGAATTTGGTGGTTATGGGAGGAGCCAAGTGTCAGTGGTAGAAAGAGGTTGGGGTCTTCACCGGGCTACTGCGCTCATTGGCTTCAAGAAGGGGTTTCTGGGTGGTCTACAATAAATTGACATCTCTAGTTTGGGGTTTCGTTTGACTTCTGGTGGTGGGTTGATAATTGGTAGGTCATCATAAGTGAGGAAGGAGGTGGCGTGTGTGACTCGTTGAAGCAACTCACATGATGGGTGGTTATGGCAACATGTGACAGTGATCAACGTCCCCCATCTCTTTCAAACTTTCAATTTAATACAGTTACAATTATATTATGTTGCTTTCCCATTCAATGCTGAAATCCCTCTTCACACTCTTTTATTATTGCTATACCAATAAAATTGTTCCTTTGCTGCAGCAACTAGTGATATATGAGACATCTGCTTCAGAACTTGATATAATTCGGGATATATCTCGTACCTTCCCTTCACATATTTTCTTCCAGCAGAGACATGGACCTGGTCAAAGGTCTCTCTATAATGTTCTAAAGGCGTACTCTGTATTTGACAGAGATGTTGGCTATGTTCAGGTTTGTATCTTTTATATCCCATCACTCTTCTATATACCTTTTTGTAGAATACTGAATAATACAAAATTTTCTTGACTACCAGGGAATGGGATTTGTAGCTGGTCTGTTGCTTCTTTATATGAGTGAAGAAGATGCATTTTGGTTATTGGTTGCATTGCTAAAAGGAGCTGTCCATGCCCCCATGGAGGGTTTATATTTGGTAATTTCTTTAGTCTGAGAACATATTAAATTTAGTTGTTACAACTTGCGTTATTTGGTCAATAAAATGACAATAGGCCTTGAATATGTCAAATAGCGTAAGAAAGCACAGTTATTGGAAAATGTTTTGATAGAGAAAATTTGTAGTTCTAAACCTGGTCCTAAGTAGAGAAAATATGCTGATAAGTTTTGAAAAAGGTTTATTTTCTTCATATTTTTATCTTACCCCCTGCTTGTGGATGATGTATTCAATAACAAATAATGGAAAGTGCTCATAAATCACTCTTTTCTGAGGCCAGTAGGCAATTTTTCTGGAGATGCTATTCCAGCCAGAGGTGGACATAAGGGGTGGCGAGGGGGGCCACACCCCTGCAAACATCTCAAAAATGTTAATGAACTATGGTATATTTACTCTTAAGTCTCTAATTTATAGAGAATTGGCCCCCTCAATTTCTTTCGTCTTTTTTAAAAAAAAAAATTCTTCTAAAGTCCCAAATTGTTTGAAGCTTTAGTGAAGGTGATGCTACACATGTATATCATATACAAGTTATGATTTAAATTGATATTACAAACCATTGTGTTGGTGGGGCTAGAAAATTATTAAATCAAAATTGGTTACGTTCCATTATAATGTTTAATTGTATCTCAAAGTGGTGTTGGTTATGAGTTATTGTATTGACTTTGGTAACTATCAAAATGGTCTTTGGTTATAGGTGAAATTGGTGTTAGTTACTATCAAGTGACTATGATCATTGTGAAAAAAGTATTTGTATGTTATTTTTTATTTTGTGCAATGAGTAAAAAGTATTTTATAATCCTATTTTGATACTTTCTATTTTTTAAATATCTATGTTGAAAATTTAACTTGCAAATTTAATGATAATGTTCAATTTTTATGCTTATAAAAATGAATATTTTAGTATACAAAACTTTGATAAATGTAATAAAATAAATTTTGTAAATAATTTTTGATTGTATATAATGTAGCCCGCACTTTACAATGATCCTAGGTTCGCCACTGAAGGAGAGGGATAGGGTAGATTTATTAATATATATATATATATACATCACATCATTAATGGCGGGACTCACTGCCACCTAATTAGTGGGAGCACTAATTAGTGCTCCCAAGCATTTTTCTTTCTTTGCTAAATGATGTCTACTCATTTGAGAGTCCTTTTATGGCTGTTAAAGTGGTTTGGCTCCTTATTATGTCTAAGCCTTATTTTTTTATTTATTTTTTCTTCCCTTTTTTTTCTTTCCTGTTTGTGACCATTATTAAATGCATTCCAGAAATCTGAGAAATGTTGTCTTTTGTTACTGGTGTGTAGGTGGGGTTGCCTCTGGTACAGCAATACCTTTTTCAGTTTGAAAGTTTAGCAAGAGAGAACTTGCCAAAAGTCGGAGAGCATTTTACGCAAGAAATGATAAACCCTAGCATGTATGCAAGCCAGTGGTTCATAACTGTTTTTGTTCTAAATCTTTCCCATTCCATTTGGCTCTTCGAATTTGGGATGTCTTTCTCTACCAGGTTAGTGATCTTAATTATTGTTGCATGTTCCTTATATGTACTGCCCTTGGGTATGGAAGCTGACATTTTTCTTTTGGGCCAGGGTGTCAAAATTGTTTTTAAAGTTGGTCTGGCCCTGCTGAAATACTGCCAGGATGACTTAGTAAGTTTTTGATGACTACATCTCTCTGTAAGATCCTAATAGCTTGTAATATTCTGACTCATACCAAGAATTGATTATGTTGATCAGATAAAGCTACCATTTGAGAAGCTTATACATGCTCTGCGTAACTTCCCTGAGGACGCAATGAACCCAGATACCCTATTACCAATGGCCTACTCAATCAAGGTTCTCTCTCTTGCATGTTTGCATTATGTGGCATTACATGTTCTGAATTCCCAACATGCTAATTATTTGTAGTTTTTTTATGGTGCATACAATTTTTTCCTAATGTCATCAACTTCTTGTTGCTGTGGAAAGTCTTTTCCAGTGAGGAGCTTGCATCGTAAGTTGATCTACTTTTATAGTGTCCTGATTGGTAGATAGCAAATGTTGAACGGATTTGAAGTCATTTAAGATCTTATGTTTTCTATTGCTGGTCATCATCTTTGTGTGCCAAAATTCTTGTATATTGTGCCACTTTCCAGTCTTGTAATCTTACTCCAAATGTTTGATCACTATTCCTTGTTGGACTTCCCTGTCATTATGTTGGGATGTAGCGTCAAATGTACTTATTGCTTGGATATTATCCATGTCAAATGGGAAATTGCTACAGTAGTTAATGGCTTGTTTGGTAGTCTAAGAAGTATGGACACTTCTAAGAAAGTATTGTGTCCGTGTTGGACAAATGTTCACATATGTCCATTGTTTAGACACATGAAATACATTGTTAGTTTGAAAAAAATAACTTGGTATCTAATGATAAGATAAAAGCAATGGATTTATAGCTATTATTTTCTTAACCTTTAGACTTTTTAATTTTAGGTGTTCTATTTCAATTTGTGTTTTAATAGAGTTTTCTAAAATATATACTACTTTTTGTTCATTACTTCTTTTCCATATGTGGAATGTGTGAAAAATGATTTCTTATTAATTTGGTATAACAAAGAATATACTTACTTCCAACGTAAAAGATGATGAAATTATTTTATTTTCATGTGTTTATATATATATATATATATATATTGTCATCATGTCCTTGGAGCTCAACCTGGAATCTCATGGGTATGGAGAACGAAAACACTAATGTTAGGTCAACAAAATAGCACATCAGTAGCTTATTATGGAAGCTTTTCGTAATTTTAGTATGTATATTTTAGTTTATCATCTTGCTTTGATAATTTTTGTTTAATTAACAGGTATCCAAGCGTTTGGAGGAACTTAAGCTGGAGTACGAGAAGAAAAATGGGAAGCCAGCAGAAGAACCCAAAGGGAAACAGAAACATCTGCTACTTAAAATGCATTAAAGGTGCTTTGCATTTGAGAGGACCCCGAGCCACAACTAGTCAGTACATACACACTGATTCTTTTATTCTTTGCTTGTGTCAACAATATTGTCTCTGCCAGTGTGTATATAGCATCACACTTTGGCCGTGTCTTTGACCTACGCATAGGTATGACGCGTAAAAAATTGCTCAATTGGTTGCTTACTTGAACTGATTCTTTAGGTCTAAAAGATCACATGTTAAAATCTTTTTATGAGACAAAGTGAGGATGGTGGCAATGTGGCATCTACGCATCTTCTGATAAGATGGAATCGTTTGGATGGACCACCACGGGAAAATTATTTAGGTGGGATGACATACTAGGAAAGTTCTCTTTTGCTACACCATATCTGTCCAAGAATCGGATTCTTTTCAACAACTGTACCCTACTGATCTGCTTCTCACCGATCATTAGGCGTTTTTATGATTGAGAGCCCTAATTACCGCTAACTTGATTGTTATCCAATGGCAAGCATGGTGGAGTTGATCGGCCAATCATTTGTTATATATTTTAAAACAAGTTTGTAAGATGGATTTATTGAATTTTATTTATGCGACGAGTCTAATGATGATTCTCTGTTGATATGACATTCTTATCCTCCGAAACATTAGCAGGTGATTAATATAAGGTCAAGGTTGGATTTTGATGCTAACTCTGAGTAGATTATGCTTAATCAGGATAAGTGGATGCATTCTATTATGAAGTTTTTATTTTTAATGCATATTATTGTGAGAAGCATGTTCTTTTTCAACTTCATTTATTCGACATGCATGTTGTTCTCCATGTTGATGGAAAGATGAAATTTGGTATTAAAAAAAAATAAAAATTGAAGGCATCATTCTATTTGGTCGGTCCCTTTTTTCTTCTTCTTCAAGAAACATCAAAAATAATAATAATTAGTGTGTTTTGTTTCAGTTTTTTAAATTTATTTTTTTGAAAACTAAGTTTTTTTTTTTTATTTTTTGTATTTTTTTTGTTTTTAGTGAATATTTTTTGAATTTTAAGTAATTTTTTTACTTTTTTAGATGCGTTTTACTTAAATGTATCTAAATAGTAAAATATTTTAAAAAATTAATAAATACACAAAAATAAAAAAATCTATATTGAATTTTTGTTTTTTTATTGTATTTTTTGGTATTTAATGTATTTTTTTTAAAAAAAAAATTCACAAATATTTACTTTTTAAGTGTATTTATGTTAGGTGTGTCTAAATTTTTTCAAAAAAATATCTTAAAATATTAAAAAAATTCATTGAAAACATTAAAATACGAAAAATAAAAAAGTTGAATTTTCTGAAAACTGTTTTTTGAAAACTGAAAACAAACAAGCTGAATGTTATTTGTAACTAGTGTATCATGGACAATACAAAAAAACAATATGGATATAAGCCTTAAAATAAATTTTATAATGATAAATTATTTTTTGATACAAAATTTGATTAAAAATTTAATATAATGGTAATATCACGTCATCATTAGTATGTGATATCACCTACTAATAGTAAATAAACACATAAAGAGTGAACTTCACATATCAAATGTAACTAACAATCTAATAAATTTCATATCTTTATAGTGATATTACTTATTTTTTCATATCACTACAATGACATTGCCGTTACATTCAAAAAATTTCATAGTGAATATGATTTATTTATAATAGTCTCTTCATTTTTAATCAAAACAATCATTATTGTTTTTATAATTTTTAAAATATTATTGACATTTCACTATAATAATATTTTTATAATTTTTTATTTAAAATATTTTCTTTATGTTTGAAAAAAAAAATTCCCAAAATTTAAGAGGACACGTGACCCCTCTGATCCCATGCTCCTTCCGTCGCTATACACATCTGAATTTATTGATAAAATATTTAATAGATTATTTGGCATACATGGTATTTCCCTGGTATATTTGCATACTCATGAACTTAACAAAGAGAAGGGGTCAAATTCATCATGAAAGGTGTGTGGGTTCCCCACGTCAGCCATGCAGACAATGGAGCATGACAAATGAATAGAGGCTGAAACCGAAACAGATGAGATGGTGACACTATAACTACTTTTAAAATAGAGGCTGAAATCCAAACAAATAAATATTCAAAAATTTATTTTACTTTTAAAATTAAAATATATTTGTTAATTTTTGTTGATGACACGGTAGATACTTGACTTAAAAGTTAAAACTCTTTTGCGAATTAAACCTTTTATTAAATTATGTGTACTAAAGTCCTATCATTTAAAAATAGAATAAATTATTTATAAATCTAATTTAGGTTAAATTATTTATAAGTCTTATTTCGAAAACTTATACAAGATATGGTCATATGAAAAAATTTATAACTCAATGCGTCCTATGGTTTTCTTGTGGACACATCTACTCCCAATCTTAATTAATTAATAACTTGATTAATATGATAATATCATACATGAAAAATTCAACGTTACTATAGATTATGATTATATCTATATGGTTAGAAATTTGAAATTCAAAATAATATAATTAATGACAACACTATATATGGGAAATCCAATGTTACGATAGATTATGGTTATATCTATATGGTTAGAAATTTGAAATTCAAAATAACATAATTAATGACAATACCATATATAGGAAATCTAATGTTACGATAGAGTGTGATCATATCTATATGGTTGAAAATTTTGAAATTTAAAGCATAAATGTAACATATAGCATCCCAAATCTAATGTGATATTCCCAAACTCAACGTGATATTCTCATATACTTCTAAAATTTAAAATAACTTGATTAATGACAATACCATATATGGAAATCCAATTTTACCATAGATTGTGATCAAATCTATATGGTTAGAAATTTAAAATTCAAAACATAAATGTAATATGTAACATCCCAAACCCAATATGACATTCTTAAACCTAACATGACATTCTCATATCCTTCTCATCCCAAAACCAACGTAAATGTAACATGTAATATCCCAAACTCACCGTAACATTCTCATATGCTTCTCATCCTAAACCCAACGTAACATTCTAATACTCTGCCATTGAATTATGAATAATGTAACCTTCTAAATGTAACATGTAACATCCTAACCCAACCCATACATTGAACCACTATTACTCCCAGCCTAACATAATTTCAACATCGAGCGATGAGATTCAATCAACATTTAATTACAAATCCAAATCCCCAATAATTTTGCATAATATATTGTAACATGTATTGAAACACTGATTACAATAAAAACACGATACACATTCAAACACATATATAACCAAACATACATACAAATGTCATCTACTACATGGTGTATGTAGATTAACGTTGTACACTAAATGTAATATGCATCGTAACACGATCATCTAGGTCCCACTGTACAATTGTCATCCTACGACATGGTTCATATTCGACATCCAATTAACAGCCAAAATCGAATACCCCCAACCCAACCCTTGAACCTATACACACCATCTCACACATCGAACATATCAAAACACATCAACCATCACAATGTCAAATACACGTTCAATTAGAACATTGGCCAAAGTGTGTCTATCAATGAGTGTAATAGATTGTTAATACCCTATTAAAGATAAACAATCCACACTTCAACAAACAGCAACACACTAACCAAAAAAAATAAAAAAATAACCCCTCAACTGATTGGAGTTGCAATATGTCGAAGGAATCAACAAACAACCCTCAAACTTTATCACATCATTGACCATATCCACATCCAATTAAGCAACATTTTAAAAATGCACTGGAATCTCGTGATCAAGGCGAACAAAACTCGCATAGTCGTTGTCTATAGACTTGTCTTTCCTAAAAGCCTTCCCAAACGTGATATGATGAATGAGAAAATAATGTATAATATGAAAACAAATTACGAGTATAATAGTATACTAATATAATTCATTTACAATTTATAGGACCTCATGGAACACATTTCTATTTAAATAGGACTTCAAATTCTAAAAAAATATTTATAGAATTTCACATTAAATAAGTTATCTAAATAATTTTTCTTCAAAAATATCAATGCATTGTAATGCACTTTTTGTTAATTTAGATGGAAAATATGATGGTTACATTTTATTTAATCAACCATTAAGAAGTTATATGTTTTAAAGCTTTGCTCTATATCTCATAGAATAAAGTAATATTTGTCTCAAAATTTTTAAATTTTTATTCATATCTAACATGTCACAACAACATTTTATTTATTTATTTTTGTCTTGAAATAAAAAAACATATATATAGATATATAATTAAATAATTCTATATAAAAATTTTAAAATTCTAAAATACTAAACCCTAAGCCCTTAGAGCTAAGGGACAAATAAATATTCAAAAATTTATTTTACTTTTAAAATTAAAATATATTTGTTAATTTTTGTTGATGACACGGTAGATACTTGACTTAAAAGTTAAAACTCTTTTGCGAATTAAACCTTTTATTAAATTATGTGTACTAAACTCCTATCATTTAAAAATAGAATAAATTATTTATAAATCTAATTTAGGTTAAATTATTTATAAGTCTTATTTCGAAAACTTATACAAGATATGGTCAAAAAAAAGTAAGATTTTATGTTATTTGTATATATAATATATATTCAAAATGATTTAATAATCTAAATTATTTTAATAGCATGTAATGACTAATAATTTATATGTATATTTAATATTTTTATATATTTATATATGTATAATTCGGGTTTCGAGTTGCTCGGATTGTTTGACGTCGCTTGGGTTGTTTGACGTCTTTGTCCAAGTCCGCCCAAATTTAATTCGGGTTTCTAATTTTTTATCCAAACTCGTATCGAATTTAAAAATATTTTATCCAAATCCTAAAAAAATTTGAGTTAGATTCGAATTACTCGGATAAAGCCCACCCAAAACTGCAGCACTAGTAAGAGCATCCTATGTTATCATCCCGGTGCCACTTCACCCACTGATCTTTGGCTTTACTGGCCATGCATTGGTAAACCATCCTCCCATGTTCCCCCCCACATGTTTATGATTAATAATTAGTGGATTTAAACCTTATATCAGCTTTACCAAAAATTATTGAATGCCCCTTAAGTAAGTTCAGATGGAGCAGTGTTAGGATCATAAAATTATTCTACAGAACAAAACATATATGTGAGAGAAAAAGATGAATTTTACATGTAAATCTTACATTTGTCTTATATATTATTTTATTTTGTGAAAAGCATCTATATTTTTAGAATTATTGATCTAGATGATATTGTAAATTAGTAATTATTGATTTAATTATTGAATTCACAACAAAATATTAAAGATTAACTTATAAATGAAATTTAAGATAATGTTAGAGATTATTTGAGATAATCTCAATAAATATATTTTTTTAATTTTTTATGAAAAAATGTGCAATGTAGTAAAAAGATAATGTAATCTAAATAAAATAAAAAGATAAAAATATGTGCTAAAATACTACAAGCCAAACAACCCCTTATGATGTGACTCAAATAACTTATTTTTTTGATTTTTTTTTATTTATTATAAAAGGATCTTAAAAAATAAAAAATAATATGATAAATTATAATAAATAAGTCAATAAATAATTTATTTTGTTAGTACCAAATCACCTCTAAATAATTTATCGTCAAAAAATGTTAGAGATTCTAAA